ATGGCAGTTTCAAGATGTTCAGGATGTTCAGGCTGTTCAGGCTTTTACGCAGACTTTCTCATCAAGGGAAAAGTGACACGTGGCATTTTCAGGATGTTCAGGCTGTTCAGGCTTTTACGCAAACTTTCTCACGAGTCAAAGTTCAGAGGCATGTGGCAGTCTCACCTCCTCCGCCGACGAGAAAGACGATGATTTCCTCGCACGTGAGCCCGTTGATGGCATAAGCGAACACGCGCAGCATCCAGCGGATCAGGACCTCGTTGCTGTTGAAGATGTCCCGGAGGAACTCCATTGGTACGGGCGATGGAAAATCGAGCCCCTGAAAAGATGGAGAAATTGCGTCATCCACTCCATCGACCTCCATGAATCCGATGCCCATCCAAGGTGTCCAAGCGCATACGGCGGCAAGAGTCTCGCTCGCATGGCCCAAGCTACCTATCGTCGGCCCTCCCATTCTAGAACAGGACTTGGTCCATGTTTAATGCCTTTCTTTTTTCTTATATGAATTATTCATAAGAAAAAGGATAGTACTTGAACAGCCCAACCAATCCACCCATGGATCATTCGCGGCTGTCTAAGACACTCACCCTGTAGTCGACGTCGGTCATGAAGGTGCACAGGTACTGCGGCCTGTGTACGTCGAGCGCTCCCGTCTTCAGCTGCCAGATACCGTTGCGCACGTTGATGATGTGCACGTCCGTGTTCAGCCGCTGGAACAGATCCGGAGCGTACATCTTGCCCTGCATGACCTCCATGGTGCTGTTGACCGCCGCCACGTTGTTGTAGTCTCTGAGGCTCTTGAGCATCGCCAGCAGCTCTGCCGCACGCTCCTTGTCGTCACCCACACCGGCCCCTCAGCTGCTCGTGGAGCTCCTCCCGCACGCGTTGGTACACCCGACTGAGCTGGTGCATGACGACGAAGCGGACGTAGCTTCCGGTGCCGTCCACCTCGAAGCGCTGGCCGTTCCAGAAATGCCATTTGCCGTAGAACCAGAGCCTGTGTGAGTGACACACATAGATGGTTCAGTTCACGAGGTCTGGAGAAGTTTGCGTAGAAGCCTGAACACCCTGAACATCCTGAACATCTTGAACACCCTGAACATCTTGAACATCC